GTCGCGTTTTATTCCCCTTCTCCGTAATTTCATGAATTTTTCGCCGTAATACATAACTAACCGCGGCGCATTTTTGCCGCGTATAAATCAAGTTCAACAAGATTTGCGTCACGTTTAATTTAAACCAATAGGAATGCGAGAGAGCATATGATGTTGAAATACGCGAGATTTAAGAGAGACTCGATTTCTTTTTTTTTTTTTTCAATTCTTAAATACCTTTACCGTAATGCCGCTACAAATTCTACGATTAAATAGCTCCTATAACAAACGTGAAAACTGATCATTGCATTTAACAAGATCAATTACAACATCCAGAAAGTCAGATCACATTTAAAAAGTCAATGAAGAAGTTCCAAAAGTTCGATCAATTTGAACGATCGATTTACATCTATCTTTTATCCATCTGCTATATATCGCTTGGAAAATCGAAAAGACAACGATTCCATGTACTTTCCATTTAAATTCTTCACTACGAGCCGATAAACCTGAGAAGAATCTTTGGCAAAGTTACGAATGTTTATATGTTAAATGTTAAATGTTGAAGCCCGTATATGTAAGTACCGTATGCTCTAAAATATTCTATGAATTTTATTACAAGAACAACGTTATTTTGTTGCCACAATATGCAGTGACAGTTCACAACATGTTCATATGTTCTACAGCTATCGCCTATTGCAAATAAAAAAAGATACGAAAGAAAATTATTTCTCTATAGACTTGCAGGCCATAAATGAATTATATTTGGAATAATCATTCAACCCTGAAATTCAAAGTTCAAGTTTCCGCTTCTCTTTTCGCTTCTCTGTCTCTTTTCCTTTGTAGTTAACGGCAATACGTTCGGCGCGAAAGCTCGCAATATTTTTATCGCGGTTGCGAATTCACCGAGCGCAAGCCAGTTTTTTAATCTTCTGTCGATCCAACGCAACGCCTTCCTCCTTGTAACCTACATCTAATTTCGGCATCCGCGTCCGGCTTGTTTATCATTCTATTAATAATCCAAGCTTTCCTATATCGGTCCTTCGTCACGCTCACTAAACCAATGAGAAATTGCTTGGAACGTTATACTACCGCTTCTATCGCCGCGTTAAAGGTGCAACTAACTGCGCTAAGGTGCATCCACGAGGTACACGCACTGACGCGTCTCATATTAATATCCGACACGGATGCACATTGGAACTTTATGTTTTCATGCTTGAGATTTTCACACCGGGAGAAGCAATAATGTTAATAAATATACAGTTAATGGAAGGACAAATATCATAGTTTCGAGGAATGAGAAAACATCGGCAAGATTAAGAGAATAGCACGAAATTTTCATATTATTTCTGACACGTGAAATTAGAAAAAGAATATGAAATTATAGATCCGGTAAGATCAATTATATGTAGTAGACTATGGACATTTATGCAAATTTACATTTTTATGAATGCAATTAAATAGATAGAACCTAGGTAGAAAATTGTTTCGTCTAATAAATTTTTTAATGAATATTATGCTTTGGATATTGTACGTAAGAAATGTTAGATACGTTAGTCTTGTAGATTCTGATAAAATTTGATCGCGAGAACGAGAAAGCTTTGGAAGAATCGCGAGCGCAGTAGATTAGGACGTGCTTGGTCAGACGCAGCGAAGTACTGATTGCGGCAGCTGACAATTTTTTAAGCTCTTCATTAGTAGAAAATATTAGTTATTATAAGTTGCAATACGGTTATTAAATACTTCATATGGTTGATTACAGTTTTAATGAAATTTTAAGAAACTTTTCTAGTAGAAAGACGCTTTGGAAAATATTAAATAAAATTCGGGAAGATCTCGGGATCATCGAAGAGGTCTAAAATAATTTTAGATAATTTAGTCAGTAATAATTAGCAATTCTAAATAATCAATTTAATCAATAACATGAAAATAGTATATAATTCTTACTAATATTAAAATCTATTTGTTTGACAAAAATTTATATTTATAAAAATTAAGTAAAAATATGTTTCCGCTTTGTCTTCAAGAATATATATAATTTTTTAATTAACGAATCATGTTTCCATTAATTCCATAATTATTAGATACATTTGATTTGCAATTATTAATAACTAGAAAATATGTGACGTGTGTGGTGGTCATTTATTATATTGTTCGGAGCATAGCGTGCATGTTTAGTTTCTCCTATCAGAAGCATTTAGATTTGAGAAATTTATGGAAACACTTGATCCAAATGACGACACGCAAATCCATGATGGGCGTCAGTCACGCTTGTAAACCAGAGCGGTAAAGAGCCTCTTGTTGCTCGTTTACACTTTGACGTGTATTTTCATCCACAGTTTAAAACACGAGTGCCACTTACTCTACATTTCTTCGTCTCTTTACTCTCGTCTCTTTTATCTTCTTCAGTTCTCTGTGCGTTATCCCTGTTTTATCGTCATTTTCCATTTGACAAATATTTTTCTCCACTGAAGAACTCGTTCTTGCATATGTTTCTTCTCCCTCCGAATAATTCAGATACGTACAATTCGTCAAATATATATATATACGCACATTTTTGTGAAAACGTATTTTGTACGTATTTCTCTACAAAACCAAAAATTCCACTCGCGATCGTTCAAATACTTTCACGATTCCGTTGTTGTGCGCATCTCCTTTCAACTTTCTCTCGAATTTCTCTCTCCGCCCCATCACGATTCTCGGAATACGTCAAATTCCCCAACCACGGAACTCGTGTCATCGATTGCTCGCATTATATTTACTCTTTGATAGAAGCGTGAAGCGAATATTTTACAAGAGGCCGTGTTCGTTGAGCGATGTAACGATCGCTCATTTTCAGGCTGGAACGAGGTGCGACATCGTCCAATATATTACTTTGATTAATAATCTGTAAACAGAATCCTTAATGTCGCCCGGACCCGGTCAGAATCTGTTCTACCGCCTAGGATGATGGACCATGTTGTATTCACGAATACCAGAATCACGAACGCGACATAAAGATATTAGTAGGCCAACATCGCGAAACCAAGGCTCGTTTGCCTCGAGCGAATTACATGCGTGATCTACTGTTGAGTTTGGCACCGATCGCCGTTTACTCAGCTGCCCTCGAAAGACAAAAGGCAATCGGACGCTCGACACGACTGCAATCGAGCTTTCGATCCTCTATTGTTGGACCGTGATGTCAGCCTTCGGTACAGTGAGATGCCAATGGGACTGTGATCTTTACAAGGAATGCTATAGATCGGATTAATTTTTTCAGAGTAGAATCTGATATATTGTAGATAACATTGTATATAATATACGACGATACGAAAGAAATGTTTTACATCTTTTGTTGTACGTTTTAGTTGACAAAAATGAAAAACGATAGGAGGTGCTAAAACATGTGGATTTATAAATCAATCAATATGATATAATTAATATTATCTAGCTTTTTTATGATTTTTTTAATAAGGTGAATCGTGGTTAAAACAACGTAAAAAATACTCTTTCAGAGTATAAAAAATTGTCGAAAATGTATACATACTTGTGTGTATTATGCTTTCATGATAGCAACGTTTTCATATATATAATTAATATCACTAAAGTTTGGAAGATTTTTTAATAAAGTGAAATAAAAAGATACGTTTTTCCACAGAATGAAAAGAACTTGGTAGCACGTATAGTTTGCACCTGATACCAGAAATGCAAGAAATCTCGACGACAAAGAAATAACCACTTTTCAAATCATTCATCTTGCATTCTTCGTCGTTTTATCATATCTAATAGCTTTTCGATATTAATCAACTTTCTACCAAAAGAAAGTTTTTACACGTATTTTGCCTAGTTCGGTGAATGAATACGAATAATTAAGTCAAATCTAAAGCAGGAGCTGGTTTTTTCTACAAAATTCGATATAATTTCATTCGTCCATTTAATTCATGATCATTTATCATTTATCCATCGCGATCGAATCGTTTCTTATCGCGAGACTAAAGGTATCGATCCTTTCTGTGACTGTACAAAATCTATCCCATAGATTATTCATAGCCTACTCGACACACAACTTCCGAAAGTTCTATTTTAACGCGTTCGTCACGGTAGCGTGAAGCTCTCTATGAAAAGTGACACACGTAGAACCAGTAAATAATGAAGTTCTCACAGCTGTCTTCGCTACATCGTGACCAATTCACGGGACAATTCTATACCGTTAGTAGGAACGACTTCCGACGATGAGCTGGGCGTGACAAGAAGTTAACCACTCGGTAGATTCGTCGACGTTTGATTGGCAAGGCAAACACTCGAACAGCGTTCACGAAACCGTTGAAATTCCAAGCATCCATCCGTTCAGAATCGAGAACCAGGTTCCGACGCGTGATGGACGGAATTTTTTTAACTTTGTTCTGCGATCTCTGCTTTCCCCCGTAACCACCGATCGATCGAGTTCCCGCCATTCATTTTCCTTCTCAATTTTTACTTCATTTATTTTATTTGTCTTTGCAAAGACTAGTAAGAAAACTTCTCAAATTATTTCAAATCTGTTTAGAGTTTATAAAATAAAACATGGCCTACAGTTTTCCCCTTTGTCCTACCAATTTACCATAAAAACAATTAAGAGAAGATCCAGGAAGATACCAAGGAAGAAACAACTTATTTTTAATCCAAATCAAATTTAATCGATGTTAAATAGAAAAAAGGGACTTATATTGCTTCAAAAGAATAATCTAAAAAGTGTAATCTAAGATAAAATATACGACTATATTATAACTGTACTGTAAGTATTTCATTACTTTCCCTTTCGTTCTACTAATTTGTCGTCACACCATAAATATGATTAAACGATGTTATTGATCTAACAGAAAATATCGATAAATTCTTTTCCCTTTACCGATTTGTTATCGTATGTCGTTACAACGTAATACAAAATCTCCCCCTCGAAGGAAGGAAAAAGAAAAGAGAGAAATACCGAAGAACCAGAAACACGTCTCGAAGTTGAGAAAATTCTTTGTTCCTAAAAAGCTGACAATTCTCCTTTATGATTGCAGGTCGGCGGTTATGCGAACATTGTCGATTTGGGCAGTGGCTTGTCGTTCTCGTGGATATCTCGGGGACAGATTCTACTTGTTGTCCATGCAGAGAAGGACGGGCAAGATCCTCGTCTGACAGAGACCGATGCTTGGTGCAAAGCTTTTGCTTCTTTCTTGTGTTGCTTGTCACTCACTCTCGCTTTACCCATTTGTATTCCTCTTCGTTGTAAATTATCCGCTACCACTGTATTTCCGCGTAGAGGACAGTCGTTAAAATGGCTAGGATCGAGTTACCGAGGAAAGAAAAGAAAAAGAAAATTGAACGGATGTCGTTAAAGACATGAGTGGTCTATTTGAAATTTCGAAAAAGCAACGAGAAATTCTTGAAGATTGTGCAAACGCGATCGTTAAACGGCCACGTGTTTGGCATGAGGACCTTCTGGCATGGAATCGCGTGCCATGTGCAATTTACAGCTACTAAAATTAGACGTTTCATCCCTCTGCTCGTATGGGGTGGTCAAAGTGATTTTCGATACGCCATTGGTCACGGTTATGGCTAAACTACTCGTTTCAGGGTTCACAGGGTGTAAATAAATGTCGAAATAGTAGCGGAAGATTTTTCTTCGTTGTATGTAATATAATGATATTTCTTTGATAATTTATGTTAATTACTATATTTTCAAGCAGTTTCTTGGCTAATGAGAGTCTTGACTTATGGAGTTTTGCCATTAGATAAAGAAACAATTTGTCCAAAAATGGACAGATTAAATAGTTGACATTGCAATTTTTTTTTATAATGACGCTTTATATGTACTTTGGATAATTTATGTTAATTAGATTAGATATCACAAAGCATTATCAAATTTCAGATTGTCTATATGATTTGAATTTTAGTTTGGGCCTTAGAGAGATCCGAAACATATTGCTTTGTAATAACATTATTTGCATCAATCGATAATCAGCAATATACATTATGTATTATAAAATTCTTAATTAAAGTTAAGGTTATTTCTTCTATTCATAAACAAAGGAGCAACTTGTTCAGAAACGAATCGTCAATGAATTAAACATTTTCTTTTAATTATCTTTTGAGCGACTTCCTAAGTAATTTGATATTTCTTTAAATAGATCAAATATCTAAACTCGAAAAGTTGATTGCTTCTACTCGAGTAGTTACGATCCTAATTCGACCAGTGAAGAGAAGCTTCGAAGTTATTTGTTCGCTCATTCCACTTACAACTGTAATTTCTTTCTTTTATTCTCACAGCCGAGAGACCGATTATATTCAACCCCTTTTCGCTATTGTCTACGCGCGTCTAACGTCTCACAGTCTGAGTCCATAAAGAAGATCGTAAAGATGTCGAATACGGTATGCGGACATTTATGAGCCTCATGAGAAGAAAATTTCATTGCAAGAGCAGCGTTTTGGAAGTTGAAGGACCGAAAGAAACGAAACTAGCCCAGTTTTCATCGTTCAGCGTTTAACTCTGACCTGCGCAATGAATCTCGTTGATTCCTATTAATTTATTATTTTGCTGTTTTACAAGATTATGAATAGGAATGGAATCATATATATAGCGTAAGTAAGTTTTCGTTTGATTTTAATATCCAGGACATCTCGTGAGGTATTCGAAAAAAGAATATCTTTAAGTAGAGTTAAACTTAAACAAGATTTGGTTGGTTAGACTACTTTATAAGTATTTTGAGAAATATAAATGGTACTTTTTTCAAGGATAATTAGAAATTGACCAAGTAGATTTGGTCTGTACTTTAATCGGAAAAGCGATCTACTATATAATACCTGACTTTCCGTTTGTTGCATCAGGTTCAGAAGAAATTATTGGAGTATTGGAATTTACATAAAAATAAAAATTAACGTTAAATTACATTAAATTTCACGAAATGAGATTTTTCTATAGAAATTGACTTAGATTTACAAATGCGTACTGAATTTGATATCCTTACCAACAACATATCGTGCATTGTGTGTCCATCATTAAGACAGAAAACAAAGGACAAGAGTTCATGGTTTGCGTGATAATTGAAGCTCGTTTCCTTCATTTTTTTTTTTTCTTTTTTCAACGTGCCCATATATAAACCTTGACAAATAAGAGCAGCTGCAGATATTTGTCTTTCCCCAGTACTACGCGAAACTATAATTCGTGACAAACATCACGGTCCACTTACTATAATCTGAAAACCCAACAATTCCTCCTCTACCTCGAGTAGAAAATATAATAAATGTATACAGTAAAAGAAAATAAGTATAAAATGTATAGAATGGATACAGGAGTATACATAGAAATACGTGTTTTGATAAAACTTATTAAAAGGTTTGCCACTCGTCTGAGATTTAATCGAATCTTTAAACACCTGCCGTGTCTATATTCGTCTGTGAGTACGACAACGAGTAGAAGCTCCTCGCTATCTATTATTCTGAGCGTGCAATTAGAGAAGCACGAGTCCCACTCTTTCATCCTCTGTGCGTTTCTATCTCTTTCCACCTTCGCAAACGTAATTTACTTTGTCGTGGCTCTTGACCGTGCAGAAATGATATACATTATTAGGCAGCACGCGTAAGTGCATGCATACTTTGTGCCCTTTGCTCGTCTATTATAGTTACGTCGCTGTTCCTTCTGTATCCATTCGCTCCTTTTTCCGTGTGAGTCATGGTGCACACGCGACAACCGACCCCACAATGTCACTAAATCGCGAAAATGTCCCTTCATCGTGTGTTAAATTGATCCATAACTCACTAGAGTTACGAAGTATTATCGGAAAACGTTGGATTTCTTTCGTGATTTTCATTCACTTGAGTTTGCAATGAGTTTACGATAAGCTCGTGTGTATTCTTAAATGCAATTAGACTGTTAATTTCACGTGTATTTTTAGCTTCATTTGGCAAAAATGAAATTTTTGTAGCACGAGTTTTGAAGAGTAACGTACATGGTTCAGTGTTGCAGCCTTGGTGATTATATCGTGTACCTTTTCTCAATCTTTTCCCATCAAGATAGACGAGCTACTATACCGTTAGGTTGTTCCAAAAGTTTCTTTCGTTTCATAAATGAAATAATAGATGCACGACATTTTCTATTTTATATTATTTTATGGATTTATGTATAATCCATCTTGTAGTAATAGAATAAAATGGATCAAACGTGATACAATAAAGTAACATAAAACAAAAAATGTTGTGCATCTACTACTTCCTTATAAACCGAAAGCAACTTTTGGGACAACCTAATACATTTTGTTTTTATAATATCTAGTCCCAATTTTTTAATATCAGAACACACACAAATCCTAAAGTTAATCGAGCTCTTTATAAGTCAAACTAATCGTGTCAATTTTTTTTATAAATCTTACACTCTCATTATTTACGTACATAATTGCTATACAGTGTGTAAAAAAACAAAACTGCTTGCTTCTACAAATTAATTCTTTACGACAACGTGCATAAATAATTGTAAGATCCAAGACGAGCGTTTTAAAACACATAAAACATCATCATTCTCCTGGACTTTATATTTTACAGAATAGATCAATACAATTCAAAAAAATGTTGGAAAGTTCAATTATCAATAAACGACAATAAACTAGTCCTACAATTGTAAATTGAAACAAATGTTCGACTAATTCGAAAAAAGGTAGTAAATCGATCCTAACCGCAGTGCAACTACACATATCGTAAATCACATTTTCCTCTATCTTGTAAAGACTGAAAAGGTTGTCGTTCCTTGCCTTTAACTCGCAAACGCCTCACACGCGACACGTCTCATTATCAATGATATTTCTTCGTCAATGGAAGTTTTTAATCGCTGTCTAGTAACTCGTAAATTAAAGCACCTATATAGCTAACAGGTTGATTTACGGATCTTAAATGTCGTTTGTCCTTTAGTCCGTTGGACAGACAAACATTAGTCTATCATATGCGTTGACGCGATAAATTGCCGAGCTTTGCCCTAGCCATCTTCTTTCCACCCATTTGGTGTTACGAGGATGATTTACACACTCGAACCGCCCTTTGTAAGCACGTCTATCTTTTCCCTTTCTTCTTCATGGTCGCGAATATTATAGGTAACATAAATATTTCCGGTCCCATTGTAGATCATAATGTATGAGATGGCGATCGATAACATATGTGTAGTTCGACGATATTTGGAATTTCTGAGTTTTCCGTGACTTTGAAGGCGATTTTTGGAATTTCTAGAATTTCTAGATTCTACTTCCTAATCTCTAGCTTTTGGTTTTCATTTCCTATTTTTTTATTTTTAGGCTCATGTCAAGTCATGATAATCTTCGAGTCATTCTACGAATAATATCGTTAATTACAAACATATAATTTTATCATATTAAGAAATAAAATTTATGAAAATTATTATTTCCCCTTTTCTAAAACTATGTTCCAATTCTTTCGTAAATTTCGTAATTTCCCTGTTGAAAAATTGTTAGGATTTTAACAAATAACTTACAATTAGAATTCAGTTTGATGAAATGTATCTTCGTGTAAATTATCTCGCGAACAAAATATTCCTAAATTAGCTACCATTGTAACGTGCATAAATATAGAAATATAAACAGTGCGCCAGTTATTAATTTACTTGCAAACAGCAGGCAAATTTCTTGCAGAAGGATCTTGGATTGCGACCAACTGCTGCGACCACCATGTTTCCCTCGTCAGTTTCAATTATTATCAAGTAGCGTTATCCGATTCCCTGAATGCGAATAAAAGAAGACTCGCGAAAGAATTCGACCAAAGGTCGAGACAATTTTTTATTTTTGCCAGCTTCGAAGTAACGATCGAGTGATTTTGTGGGCGTTTTCTCGAATAAAACGATGTGATCGGTGATGATCGTCTAACTTTATTTAGATCCTTGCGCTTTTACCATCCTTTTTCTTTTTATGAAATGACATAGATGAAGATCACAAAAAAGAGATACGACAGATACAGTCTACTGAATTTTTTAGATTAATGTTACTTTACGATCAAAAAGGAATATCTATTTATTTAAAATTGTCTACAATGTGAAAATATATGTTTTATTCCAAGATCGAATAAAAAGACATTAGCATTGATCGGTAGCATTCGTAAATTTGAAAATTGTCAACTATAAAAATTGGAAAAATGTGTAATGGATAAATAACTTACATCTTTGGATCAAATAAGTTGTCTCTATTTTTACCTATATTTACCTGTATCAAAATTAAAAAAACAACGAAATTGTACTTGTATTATAGTATTTCTCTTTTGTAGTCTTAATTTTTTCTTCGACTCGATACAAATCCGAAAAACTTTCTTTCGCTTTCGGTACGTAAGAAATATATTTCCTTTCAACATCGAAACAAATTGAAGAACATCGACGTTGCTTCATTTTTAACTCTCGACTCGAGGCGAAAGCTTAATTTGTTCGTTCGCCAATTCCCATTTTTCACTCGACTCGCGTTTAAATGCGATGCAAACACGAAACCCTTGCTTTCTACCGTCTAAAGCAGCCCGAACCTACGCTTTGTTTCCAGACAAATGAATCGTTTGTTTGAGCAATTCCTTCGGGCTATTTCGCAAACCGTTAAGCACAGATTCTTGTTCCACAAAAATAGGCTTGCCGCAACATGTTCCACCGCGCGTGGACAATGCTTGAAACATTGTGTAGATCGAATATCCCACCTTTTTAGTGTGTTTCGTATCTCAAACTTCCCCTCCTTACACGATCCCTTTCTTAATTTTCAAACATATTACGTTTCGTTACTTTCCATCGAATTCTCAATCTTAACTTTCTACTTTGTGTTTTAACTTGTTTTTATTTCAAAATAATACTGACGTATATATTTACATATATGTTGGGTATTTCCCTAATTTAAACGTGCTTCCAAATCATCAGAATGAATACAATTGCGAATGGACATTCTTAAACGTTTAGAATCCTTTCGTACGTGGGAAAAATAAAAAATAATAATCTTTGCCTAGCCTTGAGAAATTTATTCCTTAAGATTTAATAAAGCCAACATTTTCGAGATGATAGTTCAAACGAATTTACGCGAAAGGAAATAACGAACACTTTGTTCGATATTCGCAACACTTTTTCCTACTAAATCTTGCTCAAATTTTGATATATAAATACTTTGTTCTTAGAAAAAGAAAATTTGTTAAATTGCATGCTAAATTTCTTCGAAACGAAACCAACGCGTTAAAAGGAGAACGTGCGATTACTTTCTCTATTATTTTGCCTATAACATACGATGTTCATTCGTGTAACAACCTAAGGAATGTGTTACGCAGAAATCGGAATGTACCGCGATCTGATTGTGTCGGAAACTGAAGCGTCGGAAAAATGGTGAGAAGGAGCAAAGTAAGGAGGATAAGTTACGAGATTTATGAGATAAAAGGCGAATCCGCAAAGGAACGACGAAAACGATGTAACCCCCTTTGCAGTTGATGTTCGTGTTAAAAGCGATTCCTCGATGTGACTAACAAGCACCGTACATATTCTACTTATTTCATTTGTGGTGAATATAAATACGCATAGAGACGGCTGAGAAAAGTGTACTATTTTTTGTTTTTCCCTTTTAAGCAAAATTTTCTATCATGTGCGATTAAACGCGAGTTTGAAAACTCATTACTTCGATACGATATGACAAATAATATTATTCGAGTTATTTACCACTTTAGTGATTAGTATGAGATGATAATTGTTATTTTAGAAGAAAATCGGTTTCGTAAGATAATTTCTTTTAATTAGAATTTTAATTGAATTACAATTAGAAAACATTTTTTAATTGACAATTATAATATTTTTTTATTTACTTTTTAACTGTTCTAACAGTTAATAAGCTAATAGATGAAGGGATACATCTGTTCATTAACGTTGGATTTATGAACGATTTCGTGTCAGTGTTAGACGCGGCAAAGTGGTCGTAGTTTATAACATATTTCTGCGGATTGCGAATTTTAAGAGGTATTTTTGTGCAAAACACGTGGCGCCTGGAGATACGTTATCCGTATAAACGTTTATATTCGCAGTGTGCAACAACTGCTAATCTCGGTTCGGAAAATATACAACGAGCGTGGAGTATTTTTCGAACTTTCAACGTTGAAAAGAAACTCGTACCATCAGACCATACACGTGCGTTTCAACTTCATACGATAAACTAAAATTAAAGAAAATTCCCTATTCAGACAGAAGAAAATACTAAGACGAAAGTTGAACGCAGAAGAAGAAGGAAGAAAAAGCGACGTATAAAATAATCTGTGAAAGAAATAAAAATACTTGTTCAAAAAGAAACATATAACGAGATAAACTTAATATTCAATATACACAGGGAACTAGGAGACAAATGTTTACGGCTGCTAAATAATCTAGGAAAGATTAATATATTCTTCGTTTATAGAAAATAAAAAACATACTAGAACGGGAATATAATATATCCATCCAAACCAGATGTCAACACGAGTTTCACGATTTTCACAAGAATATATAAACGAAATGCTTTTAGAGGAGTTCCAGCAAATTATGCGGAAGCAGTCTGGAGAATGTGTCGAAAGTGCGTGTCGTTTCACCGAGAAATCCTTGCGACCAGCTATTTCCGTCCTGGTCGCGGCGGCGTCTCCCCGTGTTCCAACACCCCCACTGAAGTCACGCAACACGTTCCAGCATAAGGGCTCTCATAAATATCATCTGATGCCTTTGGCCGCGGTTGTCGCCATCGCGTGGTGGCCAGTCTCTTTCGTTTTCTAGGTGGGAGCGCATTCGTGCGATGGAAACGCGCCATTAAGCTGATTGGATTATTAGAAGGTGAAGAAATGGATTAATCATTGGCATGTATCGCATAACATTCACGGTTCGACCAATGAAAATTATCAGAGAATTGTTAAAAGTGGAATTTGGCTCGATATTCTGGCATTATCGACCAACCTTTTCTTTAAGCATTTTGACATATAGGTGTCCTCTTACAATGTTGTTGGTTTAAAAGAGAGATTATGACAGTCACTTGACATATTTAATGTTACTAAAATATGACTGCTCTTCTTGCAGCAGCTCGTCTCACCAGAAATATCTTTAGTTTCCTAACTGTAAATATATATAACCTTGTGAAAAATTTGAAAATATATGAGATGTGTGTAACATATAAAATACACAAGATAATGAGAGTAATTATATATGAAAAAAAATATCTCTGATTTTAAGTGTAAAACAAATCTAGAGAAGATGAAAATATTTGTTAGAAAAGAAGGTTCGACAAATAGATACCACGAAAGCCACACACTAGTTATAACCTAATATGATCGCTTAACAAACCTAGAAATTACCTAAACTCGCTCTATCGACCACCATTAGCCCCATCTCGTTTACTCGATCGGTAATATTAGATACTTGCATACAATGTAATCCCACAAATAGTGCAATCGTTGGTTCGTGTACCAGATGAAGATAAGAAAATTACCTATTGGCAATTGATCAATGTTGAACTTTCCCTTGTTTTATCCTAATTTGGAACTATTTCCATGAAGTTTTCTATTCCAATTTTACGAAATTCCAATATAGTACGAATACAATACGATAGGTGGAAGAATGATGCATGAAATGAACAGGATTTTGTAACTTAATAAACAAAGTAAATTGGGGTTTTAATCTTAATTTATGTTCTAGATTCTAGAAGATCACGAGTTTTATAATTGTATATTGATAGTGCTATGTATATGACGAATTAAGTGTTGAGTATTTTACGTATCTGGGTCAGAAGAGAATACGTAATAAGGAAAAACAACTCGTTTTAGAATTTCTACAAATGTCCTTCGATGTGATAATCGATAGTCTTATAGATATTAATACGATGTATGTAAACGGATCTTGAGGTATCTCGTATTATTTATAATTTTGGAATAGCGATGAAAAATAATAAATTGAGATATTTAATATTATCTTGAGACCTACTAGCGCAAGTGAATCTATCAGAATCAGAAGAACTGATCAATTTTCATATTATTTTAAATAATTAGAACTTGAGAATGATTATATCAATTGTTAATAATACCAATTCTTTATAAATGATTATAACTTTATCCTGTAGTAAGATACGCGGGAACAAATTCCTTTCTTAATTTCACTTTGAAAATAGAAGTAGTCGACACAAATTAGACACATCAAGGAGAAAATCTATATATCGTGTAAATAACAAACCTATCCTACAAACTCAGAAGCAAAATACTACATAAATTAGGAATTCTTAAACACAACCTATCTTATGTTTTTCTATGGAATATATAGCCTGGGATACATATATATAGACAGATAGATATACATATATATATAGATGGTAGAATACAATGTAAATATAAATATTTTTTTCACCATCTTCCAAATATACAGCAAGTTTAATTTTAAGAATCCACAACTCTTATATAAACATAAGAACACACGATTTAAAAATCTATTGCTCTACAGATACTTCATAAAATTCTCTTTTATAGGCGTACATTTATTTCAAAACATTCCCAATCTTTTAAGAAAATCCTTTTTTATCCTTCTGCTACTTACATCATTTTTACCATTCCACTTACTATTGCTCAATTACCAAAAACGAAGCTATACGATAGTTGGTAAAATACGTTCGGCAAATTTTTGGTCGAACGACATATGGGGAATTAAGTTCCGCTACGTTCGATCACTTTATAAATACTCGACGGAAACAGATGTCGACGACAAGTGGAAACGACACTGGCCGCGTACAATGTATCAAGCCGGTGTCAAACTGACGTTCGTGCGCTCGCTCGCGCTTTGAAACCAACGCGCGCCATTTCGTTGTGATAGCGAGGCATCGAGCTGGATCTGTCAGTAATTGCCTCGAGTCGTGAACCGTTATTGTCAGGCAAACGTTCCAGCGATCGTAAAGATCATTCGGTAGGCGATCTTGAAATATAAATTTACCGACGTGGAGAACGCGTTCGCCGCGTGCCACAGTGCCACGCCACGGTCTTTTCTAACCCGTGTGCAAATCCGCAGGAAGTGAACGCGGTCGCGAGACGTGGGTGTAGTGTACTGTGTATATGTACGTGTGGCCACCGTTTGGCATCGTACCAACCCGCGTTTCTGGTCTCTTAAGCAAGAAAACGAGACGATACGGAGAACAGGATACGCTTTCGAACGATCTTACCAAGCTTTTTAATTGGTAAAATTAATATCTTTCGGCGATTTCATTTTTTTCTTTTTTTTTTTTGGAAATAGGCAACTTGGTAGAATGAACGAAGATGATTGAAATGGATAAAAGAAATTCTGTTTTTGGGAAAATGTGATTGGTGTGATTGGGGTTAGATTATGCGCTTATTTGACAAAGATCATATTTCTATCTCTCTATTTCGAAGATTCTTAAGATTCCTAGGACTTCTATATCTTATTTTCTTAATTTTAGGTAAGTTCCTCTCTTATTTAACTTTTATCATAACTTCCTCTTCAAATTCTATTAATTCTTACATAATTGTGAAATTCGTACATGGTTTCGTTTGTGTGTCTGTGCAGGTAAAATTGTATCATTTTCCTTAATTCCTTTCTACTTTTTCAGCATTACGAAAGAGGATTACTTAATCTGAAGAAGAAAAATGGCGTTCCAGTTTCTAAGGACGGACGAACAAACTGAACGAACAGAGATATATGAGAATATGGTTGAATGGATTCAACGATAGCTTCTGTTGTTTCAACCTGACGAATCCCGTGGCTCTTGAGTGCTTTTCGGCACGAGGAATTCGTAAATATTTCGCTCATATGCTAAAATAAAGCGCCTCGTAGAGTGTGTCAGGTCTTGTAAGCCTCGTTCGCTTATTCATCGGTTGTTATATTGAAAATCGAGATCTCCGATAAAATAACTTTCACCAGTTGATATATTTATCATTTTCTTATACATGCTAAAACTGCTGGGGTAAACAAAGTGACTAATTCATAATATTTCATCGAAAGTTTATAAATTGGCAGTGGTGAATTTTTGGAAATTTGAATAATATTTTTAGTAAAATATATCAATAAGAACTTATTTTTCATTTTACAAAATTTACGTGATATGCAAATGATTCTAATATTAAAATACACAAAATATCTTAACAGATTCGTTACTATATGTTCGTGACGTAGTTTATTGACATACATACGGTGAAAATGTTTACACTTGTATCACATAATAATGTTATACTTTAATTTCACGGTTCTCTAACGTATGTTTCATGTTTTAATCAAGCCTCATAGTCAAACAAGATAATCATATCCATCACTCATACGTAAGAAACAGCTATGTATACGATTCAATAAAATTCTTACAAAAGTTTCAACTGTTCTACTTCGTTCCATAAATCTGTCCTGATATACTATCCTTCAATAAATAAACTATATTTTTACACCCGCACTCGCAGAAGTAGAAAAATAAAAAATACAAACACAAATACATGTGGGAAACATGAAAATATCCTACCGGTGTGGAACTATTTTAACATTGTTTAAAATTCGCGTGAAAACAAAAAAAAAAAAAAAAAAAAAGTGCGGTACGTGAGATACGATAAGAAATATTTCCATAAATTACAACGATAAATTGCTCTTGGTTCTATTTTATCTGGAGATTTGCACAACGAGTCACGAGTACACGCGACCGTTCTATGTACGAAGACTTGGAGTTGGAAGCAAGAGAACAGATTAAACCTATCACATTTCACGATATTGTGTTCTAACCGAGACTTAGATCGATCCCCAGGAGGCTTTTCAAACTTCCACGGAAATCACGACATCCTTTTAATGGCGCAAAGATACGTTTGATCGATATTACGACCTGTATTTTCGTTCTACTTAAATCTTGGCAACTTATGCAGCGGCCATAAATGCAATGCAAGAGATCTGTCAAAGGAGAACCGCACGCGATTCGACTATATTCTATTTGTTACATTACTAGAATATTGTATTTACGCTTATAAATAGGCCTCTCAAAATATAAACTGATATAAACTTCACTACCTATTAATTTCTTAATTTCTTAAGTACGCGGTTAACAATATAAAATGATTTAAAATAAGAAAAAATAAATACGATGAAAATAATATAGGTAATCATAAACTTTAATGTAAATTTAATAAACAGCATTTGAAATATCGTCACTTTTCTGAGCTTTTTAATTTGTAGAGTTGATCAATGTAACTTCCGAAGGGTCAAATCCCAAACGAATTCGAGCAAATACAATGTATTTGCATTTCAATAACAACTAGTACACTGATATAAAACTCGTGTTTAACAGGAAGTATAAAATACTGAATATTATAAACATTGGATCTATTGACTTTTCATGTATAGTTATCTAAATGTAAAAGTAAACGTCCATGTTATCAAAGATATTGAAAAAAATCTGATTATTAGTTAGTTTGACTAGTTCTAGTGTAAATATTATGAAGTTGAATGTATTATTAAATTAATACATATGAAATATTATTTTACTAATAAGAAGTTAGTTTCTTTCAAATTCTTTCAAACATCACACATTTAATCAAAGTAGTATCGACGTGAAACAATGCACTTTCCTAGCGATGTAAGAGTTATCAATATCAGAAATAAAAAATTCTATATGTGAAATGGTGGTGTTATTTTAACCTGTCATCATAACCATATTTATGTATATCCTTACATATATATATTTCCAGAAACTTTCATCATAATTTTTTCAAAATTCACACTCATATGTCTAAGAAAATCATACGACTAATTTAATCATTCATTGTGACCAATAATGACATTTTTTTAAATTTTTAATTATAAATATGACAGATGGAACAAAATTTAATAGATGATATTAGGTTTCAAAGAAACGATATTTCATATGCAACTAAATGTATCAAAATATCGTAGCATTATCTTAATATTTATACATCACGGAATTAATAAATTATTAATCTCATAATTACTCACCACCCACTTATTTCGACCACCAGTTAGACGATGCGTTAAATATAATCATTATCTCGGATGTCTGATTCAAACATGGACGTAAGTTTCGAAAGTTTAAATGGCGTTGGGCGCGTAGCGAGAATACAGTTGGAACGCCATCTGGAATCGTTGCTTCCGGTATTGAGCAGCAGTAGAATGGCAGTTGCGCGCAAAAGTCTGTTTATTTACGTGCTGTCGATGATTAATTGATCGCGAAATCGCGTCTACAAGCGATATCCGATGAGTGAGTTCAATCGAAACGAAAACGAGATGGTGTAGAGGTGAAAACATAATTAAACAGATTCGCAGAATATAAAAGAAAGAAAACGCTAGTGAATGTCGTGACTGTGGAATTCAGCCTATCGTCATCGTTCTAACCTATTTCACGAAACATCGTATTCTTCATTCTGGAATTTTCTGACGCGCTGTCAACGTTTGTTTGCCAACAGTGGTTCGGCATGATGCCATGTTCCCGCAAACGCTGAGCACGGAACCGTGCAAAATTGTTACCATGGCTGACGAAGTACTGCCGGCGAGTTTAGAAAAGCTCGAAATTGATCGTCTCTCATCGAGCTGTCCTCAGTAAGCATTTACCGCCAGAAAGCTCATTTAAAGCGCCTGCTCCTCGCAACTGTCCTATTCCAGTGCCTCGAACATTCTGAATTCTATCGTGTGCGCTCGTTCGATGTATCGGTTCGTTGCGGTTTTGCGACTCAATCCATTTTCAACGCGCGGTCAAGGTCTTCGGTTGAAACCTTACCTCGTTTCAAGAGTTACGCGACAATTTCTTGTTTACCCATCGTATGCGTGCATCTTGGTGATTTGATTTATTAATGATGCAAGCACTCGTGAACACGCATTTTAATGATCGTTACTTCTTGTACTCGATGCTGCGAAATAATAACATCGACTACGATCCGTAAGCAAATGTTTACACATATTTCGAGCAAGTTAAAGGGCCTCCACACAGAGTCATCTACATTTACGAAATATTGCTCCTTGTTAATTTACGCGTTAATACGATAAAGGAAACGAAAATAGAATACAAGTGAAGTGCAATGATTGATGTTCGTCAAAATGTGATAACGTGGATTTATTAAATCTTAAATATAATTTCATTCAATTAGTGCCCCATTTTATCGTGGCTTCGACATGAATTCACGTAGTTGGATGCTATTGCATAAGCGACCGAGTATTAAACGTTTACCAATATCCGATTCAAGGTTACGTGGCAAGAATGATGAATCATCGCGAGATGATTTTAAATCATCATATAGTTAATGTTTTTGTAATGTTTTCAAATCTCTTTCTCGACAAGATTTTATTGAATTTTATTTACGATATACGAATGTTGAAAGGATTATGCGTTCCCAATAATTATTTTTATTCGTCGTGATGTTAATTATCAACACTGCTTTCTATTGTTTCAGTATTACACCCACTGACAAAGCGAAGCCGTCAAATCCATTTAGAACAACAAGTAAAATCGTCAGTTCTGATTGCAGTCATTTATTTCGAAAACGATTGATACCTGTCAAGCCAACATTAACCACAAACAGTCCCAGAGGCGTTAAAAGCACAACGAATTTTAAACCATCAAAAAATGAAAGAGTACTTGATAAAAATAAGAAAAACTCAATAATCAAAGAGGCTGTATTAAAATTAAATAATATTGGCACTAATTGTCTTAGTGATAATGTAGCAAATACATTGATTAAAGAAACATGTAAATTTAATATTTCTGGTAAGAACTCAAAGATTTTTGGCCATGGTACGGTCACAAAGGACTTTAAAACACTAAATATTAGTGAAGATTCTAGACAAGCTAAAGACGATACCAGCATTCAAGATAATTATCAAGCTAATAGTTTCCAACGTGCACGTAGTAATACGATGCCAAGCTTAAAAAGAGGGCCTGGGCCAGGTGGAGGCAATAACAATAATAATAATATTAACAATAATAATAATAATAGTCAATCAGAAGCTGCTGGCTCAACTGGTCAACCTTCAAGTTCAAATACATGTTCAGTACAAGCACGAATATCTCCACCTTCATGCGATGTCACTATTGACGAGCTTGCCAGCTACTTCGAGGAGTTTGTTCATATTCCAAAGAAGATGTCGCACATGGCAGAAATGATGTATATTTAATTATAATATATTGAATTGTAACAGACAGATTTCTTATACGGTTTTTCAATGACTAGCATGCAATACAATGTTTATGCATGATTACAAGTCTAAATACTGTATGTTTGCTACAAATCCAATTTAATTTGGTACCTAAATTATATATAATATACAATAAAACAAAAATAAAAAAAAATCTGTGTTTTTGTAGAGGATCACATTTAAATATTGTTTTTTTTTTTTTTTTTTGTAAAAATGGTAAAAGAGAACAAAGATGATAATGTATTCATTTTAAAAAGCCATTTGTGTCAAACTATTTCATTTAGTTCAATAAAAAGATTTTAATGTGTTTGTTTTTTAAATTTTTGTATTATGAAATGAAACATTGGTACTAGAATAAATTCCTTGCAACTAACGTATTGTATTATTAAAACTCCCAACTTACTTGCGCGTTTATTAATGAAAGAATAATAATGCGTTATATGGATAAAATATATGAATATCACTTGACACTCATCTGTTAATATGATACATAATATATTTATCTGCATAGGCTTATGGTACTTAATACAATGATACAAAGTAACCATTAAATTACTTAATGATAATAAGCTTTGGTACGTAAACAATGACGATATATTGATCCATTTTTACTTTAGGTACGAGTGAACCATGTTGACGCGCGGTGTGTATGATCTTGACGAAAGCCTAAATGCATTAAAAAATATCCATCTATTTGGTGTGACGACTGTTTCATTTTTTAACATTTATAAATGGTTATTAAGCAATTTCTGACACGTTAATTTCGTTGGTGGCCCCGCGCAATACTCAAACTCTGTATCAAAAAACATGAGGTTCGTCACTATATCACAGATTTATTAAAATTTCATTTGAACGGAGCCACAACGAAACAAATTTTCAAAAGTAGGCAAGTCAAACCGAACAAGAAGGATTTACTTCATATTTTACGAATTATAGAAAGAATGAAACTATCTTTTCATGGAAACTTGTCTCCAAGCCGAGAGACGCAGTGTTCGAAAAAAGAAATTCGAAATAATACAAAAAGGAAACTATATGGAACCATAGTACGTATTATAATCCATACTTAAAAGATATGCTAAAGCTGTCACACGATTTTACTAATTGTAAGCAGTAAAAATACTTATTCAATAAGAGTAATAAAAATAGAACTAGCGTTATGAGTTGCTACTTTGATAATTATGACGACGAATA